ACATTCCAACAACTTCAACAACTTTTACAATCACTCATAAGGATCCCACGACAAGGTCTGCAACAATCTTTCACTCTATCACAGTTTAAACATCGACATCTTTTGAAGGCTACTCGAACCAACAACTTCACAGTGCGCCAACAACGTTGAAACATCGCAAATATCTAAATTCCATCTTCTAAAAATTATCCTTGCTACTTAGCAATCACCTTCAGAAACATCATGGATTTACACTCTACTCGTATATCAACAACCATTACATTGCTCCTCATCCTTCGATAAGTAAACATCAACAATGTCTGATCATCCTCCCTCAAGACGCCCCAACATGATTAACAAACAAAATCTTGAATCCATGTCACCTTCGGATTCAAGAAACAACAAAACTTCAACAATACCTGCACTGTCGTCATACCGAACCAACATCTTACAACCGAAACACATCCGAGAAGCAAGGCTTCTCCGCCACTTATCTTCAACCCAACTCCTGCATACAAGCGATTAGAAAAACAACAAGCCCCGACAATGTTTCACACACTGGTCGCTCACTAAGGAATAAACAACATTAGATAACTTGGTCTGACGGAACGACCTGCTCTGATACCACTAATGTAACACCCCATTTCTACCCGGCGGATAATAAGAAAAGCAGAGTTCAACGTATATAGGATGCTATATTTTCAACTTAAAATCAAACTTCACTTAATCGTATATAAAACAGATATATAACATTTAACTCGGATGAACCGATAACAACTTGATTTATTCTTTAACATCAAACAACTTTATATTGATAAGCAGCATAATCTACATACTCAACTTCAATTCACTTAACATCTTTATTCAACTAAAACAACTTCATGACAACAGTTACTTCATGTAAACAACTTAAAGATTCAGCAACAAAATAATAACCAACAACTAAACATCAAGCGTTCATCCCCCCGAGTACTACATATCAGGGCGATGATACCGACTCGAAACTGATGAGGGAAACAACTATTCTTCTTGATTATCTGCACGTTACCAACGGAGGGCAACATTCAAACAGAAGGAGTGAGATATCGAACTATATAATTGAACGTATGATAATTAATATATCAGAATCAGTTCATATAAAATCACCACTTCACAACTTATACACAATAACTATTACAACAAAGCCTTAACACGACATACCGAATAATTCACAACTTTTAGATAATACTTGTCACAACAAGTCAACAACATAAAGCAACAACAAATATATCATCAGCACAACTCAAGATGCAACATCAAATGTGACTCAATTACAATGCACATGCATGTGGTACCATTGGAGCAGAACTCCTAACTTAAAAATCTGCCAATAAATAGAGGCATCAACAAGGCATAAGCCTTCATCGCAGGTTGCTATCAAGTCCAAGGCATAAGCCTTCATCGCTAGTTTTTCCAATCCAGGCCAACGTGGTGCAAATCCAGGACAACTTAATAATGCAAATGTATGTGACTAAATGAATGCAACAATCACATACAACAACAATCACCATCACAAAGGCATAAGCTTATATCGTCACTTTACCAATAACTAGAGGTACTCATCATCGCTTTAACACTGGTCATAGAACTACAACTTAATCAACTTATCAATCACAACATATTCAACAACAATAATGTATTCGGAAATATTGGCATAAGCCTAAAACTTAGTACGTCACAACAATAATAGTAATTGGACAACAACATCAACAAGAAAACAACATTGACTATAAGCCTAACATTTAATACCACATGCAATTCATATTTTTCAGCAAAGTATTCAACACATTATGTCGACTAAAATATACAATAATTGTTCGGTATAGTTATTTAGACAAATCAACTAAATTTTGCTAATTAATCCTCTACTAAAATTGCTAGTATTTCTACTCTGCACTTCATAGTTTTAACAGCAACCACAACACAACGACTTATTTATACCCATACTATTATTACAAGTCCTATCAATACTACTTGCTGCCTGTCATCCATTTAATAAATTACTACTAGTCACTATATTAATCTTCTGCCAACTTACTCTACTAAATGATATCCGCTAATCATGTACATATATTACTTTGATTTGCTGCCAACAATATTATTAACACGATCCTACTATAATACTTCTACTAAATTATTCTGCTGATAAGCCTTATTAATAGCTTTCGGCTAAATTAAGGAAACTATTATTTCTCAGCCACTTAAGTCATCTCTACTGCTAATATATTTTGATTACCAATGTTTCCGTTATTTACCACAAGCTCTGCAACTAAAACCATAACAATTGCTAATTCTGAAACATAATAATTATCTCTGCTATTTTATGTCAATCCATGAATTACTCCCTTATGTTACTAATAAATAGCTTTTGGTACTATTCACCCTTTTCTAACTATGCTACATAAATTCTGTAACACAGTATAAGTATAATATTAATGTAACAGATCAAAATTGCACAACAGCATGGTGCCACTCGGAACACATTAACACCCTTTTCCTTCTAATATGCCGATCGGCACCCCCTTTCACACTTTCCCAACAACCATGCCGGTCGTGACGCTTTCCTCTTGCCGCTCGTCACCGGCTTTTCGCTTTTGTTTTTTTTCTCTAAATTTTTCGTTCGATTCATCAGTTTACCGATTCAACAACACAACACAATACTACAACAACATACAAATTATACTCAATCAACATAGAGTAATTTTCCACAACATAGTCTTCAATTGAATTTCTGTATATTTATCGGAAAACACAACATTGTAGTAGCAACAAAACAACAACCTTTCACACAAAATTACACGATAATTTCATATAACCAATCCCACATATCATTTATCATGTACCCAATTATAGAGCAAGAGTCCCACCATTACCTTGGGTTGACGGTCTCTCTATAATTTCCGGTCGAATTCCGATTTGACTTCCCAGTCGGCGGTTTCTCTCCCAACGACGGTTTCCTCCAAACCCTTGTTCTCCTTGCCACTTCTCACGTTCACCACAAAATACTCCAAGACTTGTTCAACAACCTAATTCCTTATAATTAGCTTACTTTATAATTTCTATTATTTTTAATAATTCCATTGGACCTAATCTTAACACCCTCACTTTTACTACCACCAACCAATAATTAAGCCCATATAATAAATCTAATATTATTTTAATACTATTTCTACAACTTAATCAACCAAATAATCAAGTAACAACCTGACAACTTAAATCAACATTTCAACAATTCCAACAATTAATCCGTAATTAATTTAATTAAATAATTAATTAAATTAACAGGCGTTACACCAAACATAGAGATTATTGTCCTCTTTCAGCCGTTACTTTTGAATAGCCATAAATAAAATGTAACGCTTCAGAACATGCTTGCTTCAAAACGCTTCAGAAGATGAATGTTACCGTTGAGACTCTTTTACTTCTTTCCAAAACTATATGAATCAGAATAACAGATTTCCTGTTCGCAGCGTTTAGTGCACTCAGAAGTTGTAGCTTGAGAACTTCTCTATATAAGCGTGTTATGCAGATTGCTTTCTATATAAGATGTTTTGAATCAGAGTTTAAACAACGATCTAATTCATCTTCGGTACTTCTTCCATCAGAACTCCTCTGCAAAACAAAATATTTACTATAAAGCATAATTGTTCTTTGAGTATTTATTATCATCAAAACTCTTACGAGGGTTGTAAAATCAAACTATATTCTAATAAAAATTTCCATTCCAATTGAATCAAATGAAACTAATATGTTTTTTTCTTTCAATTTTTTTCTTTCAAATTAAGTGAAAATGTATTATAAAAACCAAACATAACAAAATCAAGTGATTTTAGTTGATCTAAACTTATCTCAAAAAACTAACCTACCTGTTAAGCTCCTAACTCCATTGTCAAGCTGTCCTTCCTCAATTGTAGAAATTAATTTAATTATAAAATGTCAAAATCAATTCTACACATTAAAATCACCTTTTTCTCTTCTAAAACAGAAATCAAATATGTTGTAATTATTAACGACGAGATCAGTTAAATATATAATCCTTGTTGTGTTCCAATAATAACATGACAACTTGTAATCTCACATTGATAATTTAACTCGCATTTATAATTTAACTCGCTTTAATGCTCTTTTTATAGAGTTGCACTTATTAAATTATCAAGGAGCTTAAGACGAGAAAATGCCACGTGATGACACCGGCAAAAGAGAAGATGAAAATGACTAATAACATAAGACTTGAGACCACCACACACCTCTGTCATCTAAAAAATTATTCTTCCACAGTGATAGTGAATATTGAAGCAATTGCATTAACGAGATAATGAGAAAGTCATCGTAACTTTCCCTCTCTTAAGTCGTTGAAACCTAGCCCATGTTGGATTCAATAAAGTTCTTCACCAAATGCATTAACTTGGTTAAGCAAGACCTCCAAAAGTTAATAACATCAACAAGTTTAATTCTGAAAAAATAAATACTTCAAGACACAAGCTCTGAACTTATATTGTTAACTTGTTTATGCAGATGCTCTAAAGTTTTCTATCATTCAATTTGTAAGAATCAATAACTAATTGATCATCATTCAAACCATCAAACCATCAGCAAGAAGTACACCAAAAAAGCCAAATAATTGATCATTATGTGGGGCAGTGAATCACTTACCAACAGAAAAACATTCTTCAAACAAAACTTAGTGTCCTTTCTATTGAGGAATAGACTAAAGTTCTAGAGAAAACAGGAGGAGAGAAAACACATGGTTTTAACAAATAACCAATGTAGTAACAAGTGTAAATATCAAAATAAGCACTCGGGAAATGTTTCAAACAGTTTTCTTTTTGTTGCATACATGGAAGTCGGAGACGGCAAGCGAAGTCCAAACATTGTGTTTTTTAGACTACCCGAAATGCGCATATAAGCGGAGGTACATGATAAATCATGTTGATAATATTCATTAGTTGGCCCCCTCTTTTTTACCTCAACAAGGAAAAGAATCATCCAACCATGGTTCTCTTTCGTCCTCTTTGTCGCACTACAAATCGGGTAGAAGTATGGGGATTAGTACTATTTCTCAAAGAAAATGTCTAAATTTTAAAAACAATTACATGGAAATTAGTACCATCTGCCAACTTGTTCATTGTGGACGACCACTGCTTCGATGACTTGCGGTAAGCAGCAAGAATCCGATCAATCTAACCCGACAAACTTCAGTATTAAATATCAGTACAGAAACCATATTTTATCAGAACAAGACCTCTAGTCTTGTTAATAAAATTTTGAATAACAGACAAATGAAAATTTGTTTTCATATCCTTAATATTTAACACTATGAATAAGGACAATGGAGAAAATGAGAAGTTGGCATACAATGTTACCACATGAAGAATGCATTGAAACAAGGGCTCTTTCCAGGACATACAAATCTACAGCTTTATCTTCTGGTAGAGTTGAAGTGAAGCTCAATCCAAAGTCAATAAGAACCTATACAAAAGTTAACGATATTTCTCGTATTGCATAACCCGAATAAATGTAAGAAATATCAATTACAGGACCTAAGACATGCATGAACTCACCAACTGATCGGTATCATTCTTTAGTAACATGTTCGATGTTGTTAAATCACCGTGAACAAGACCACCATCATGTAACTTTGCAATCACATGGCCAATTTGAGACGCAATCTTGTCAAGCCGCTCTACATTGACACCACATGATCCGAATTCAAGAAATACATCCTTGACTGAAGGTCCGTCAACAAATTCAAATGTTAAAGTGTGCGACACAGGATCCACGGCATACAGTACAGGTGTACAAACCCCAAGTCGCCTTGCTTTGGTTGTACATCTTGCTTCCTGCTCCAACAATTGATTTGCAAAGCAAAGCATTCAAGACATGTAATGAGAAACAACAATTGATTTATTTGAACTTATCTATTAAACAAGTTATAACTTATATCAAAAAGGTTGATTTTATTTTAACTTTTGTTGCAAAACAAACTTATACACATGCACATATATTATAAGAGTTTATGCTATAAGCATTATTCAATTATGTTGTGTATCCAAACATGTACTAACTTATCAAAAATAAAAATGAAAATTTTAACTAAATCTGACCGTACTGCATTTAAGCGCTTGAGTGTCAACTTAGAATCCAAAATTGGATGTCTGTACTTCTTTGAGAATCGCTCCTTGACAACAGACCTTCTTCCCACAAAAGAAGACTCAAAAACTCTCTACAACAAGGACAATAAAACAATGCATAAGCTATATTGCTATTGCAATTCCAATTTCCTTCAATGACACAAAACTAGATAAACAACGCCATATCTATACTAACACGTTGACACTCATAATAATTTGAAAAAATAAATAAATTAAATGTAATGTAAGCGTTGATTTCAGACACGGACACTGACACAGACACAAAGAGTGATTTAAACTTACAGCTTCAGCTCCTTGGTTGATGAGAATGAGATTGAGAGGGGTATCTCTTGACTGAGTTTGAGTCCCCATAATATAAAAAGCTATAGCAATTTAAATTCCTTTAATTTAAACCTTCAATTGGAAAAAATAAAAATAGTCAATACATTAATCTCATGTAAAAAAGGAAAAGCTGGACGGAGAATCTTACTGGTTGTAGTGGCCGAGGAAGAACTCAGGCAGTTGAGTTGAGTTCAGTGCAACTTCAATCCAGTTTGTTTGACAGTACAAGGTCAAGGCGGCTGCACATAGGGGTGGGAAAAAACCCGGTTTATAAGAATCGTTTAAAAAACCGGTTCCATTTTTAAAAAAAAAACATATATTTTTTTGGATCAAGACTAACCCATGCCCATTTCATTAAAGACAATTTCGTTTCCCACTCATTTCTAAAAATCTAAAAATGTTTTCAGAAATTTTTAGAGATTCATCTCCAAATGTATAATAAATCAATATTGTCAAAATTTGATTGGGAGATATATCTTCGAATATTTTTAAGGCAAACGCGGAGATAGATATTCGAAAATTATTAATTCGGAGATGCATTTTCGAAAATTTCCCTGTATGCATTGTGGACAAAAATATTGTCTAAGTTTGTATATTTTTTGAATCCGAATTCATTTTAATCCGATTAACAGTTCCATAATTCATAATTTGATTCAAACATTAACATCCAATATTACGGGGAAAACCCATTTAACAACGACTGAAAAACACATATAATCATGTGGGTCCAAGCATTGTCATGTAGAATGTTGTTGTAAATGTGTAACTTACAATCACGTTCCTGAGACTATTGTAGTATTTTGGAAAGCACGCGCAATATCACAATGGTTAGTTAACTCAATTGTTGTGATAGACCTAAATGTCTCAAGTTCGATTCTCAGCATCAATACTTTGTAATTTATATTATTCTAGTCAACATTCAATATACAACCACGGTTAGTGGTTATAACTGCTGTGAAAAGTTCTGCTGTTTTAAAAAAGGAATTCTTTTGCTTTTTAAATCTTTCCCATATTTTAACATGTATTTATTTTAACCATATCAGAGAATTAAAAGCAACATGTATTATATTAACAATGCATAAAGATCATAAAAAACAGCTTACATTTTGCATTAAAAGCCAAAAGTAATATTCACATCAAACACAAAATATGTTTAAGTCAAATGTAATATTTACATCAAACACACAATATGTTTAAGTCAAATGTAATATTTACATCAAACACAAAATATGTTTTAGCACATATATCTATAAATCAAACAGAAGGATCCTTAAGCACATTATGGATATACGGCCAACGTTTACGAAGATCTACAAAGTCCTCAATATGGAATGGAGTTTCTTTGTTAAAACATCTACATAAAAAGAGCAACAAAGTGAATATCATGCATGATAATAATTGAATAGTCAACTTATATAATATATGTAAACATTTTATGACATATATACCTTATCCAAGAATCAACAATATCGACAAGGACAATGTTTAACATGTGTTTCATGACATAATACCCACACTCGTAACCCCTTGATTGTTTTCTCGTCTACAAATTTAAGCAATAATTACATGAATATAACCACACATGAGTGTAAATGAAAGAAATAGATAATCAGACCACTTACCTTAGGAAAGAGCCATGAGGGCTTTCTTTTAACATTGTGTATGATATTCACTTGCTGCACAATACTGTACATTGAAAATGAATTAAACATATTATGCGATAAACTAATTACAATATCAAAGAAATTATTAATTTAAATTCCAAAGTACAAACATACAATTGCCAATTAATAATACCTTTCATTTTTCTTTCGAGTTTATAATGTAAGGAACACCGCGTAGTTATCGTATTCGTCCTAAATGATATGATGAACAATTGCCAATGACCACTGAATAAACACGAGCATATATATAATTAGTATTTTCTAAAACAAAACTAAATATATAAGAGATAAACATCAATTACAAAATTACTCACTCTTTGAGAAATGATGATAAGTAACATTCTTTTTCTCCCTTATTTAACTGTCTTTTCATGTACTCTTCAATGGCTTTTGGATCATTATATGCCCATCGAATTCAAAATAAATTCAAGATTCCATAAGTACTCGATTTATTTAACTCTATACAAACACGGTGAATGTACCTAAATGGTTAAAGAAAATTAAAAAATTAAGGGAGGAAATATAACAAATGATATTGTTCTATAATGATATGCATATTCAATTATATACTTACGTGCAGCAAATTTGTAATATCCTTACGTCCACCCACTTATATCCAACAAGAAAATCTCTTACATCATTAGAATTATAATAGAAGAACTCTATCAATGGACAATGTTCTAGTTGCAGAGGTTGCATTTCATTCATCTCCATAACGCTCAAGTACAACGTGGTGATCTCATTTGCAGTAGGATTCATTAACTCATTGTAGTTTTCTGGAGGGGAGAGGGACTGAACAATTAATTCCTTTGGTTCTAGCATGTACACAACTTCTACTTGAAAAATGATCATCATGACCATTAATATTATTTTGATCTTCATTATTTGTACGTTGTTTGATGTTTCCACTTATTATCTATATTATAACATTCAATTAGAATATAAAATAAAATAAGCACAATATATATCATACATTTTTGATAAAACACTAGCATCTCAAATAAAGCATATACCGTATACAACTTTTCTAACTTTTCCATATCTTTCTTCCGTCTTTCCTTCTCCTCTTCTAATATCCTCATTTGTTTATCTAACCGCTTCTCAGAATTCTCAATCTTTTCTCTTTGCGCTTGAAATTCCACACTTTCGGTTCTTTTTCTTGCATAACTAAAGTATAACCTCATGCCAACACCTTCTCCAATATCACAGACACGGCCACCATGCTCATATGTTCTGATAGCTTTTACTAGTATATCATGTCGTGCTTCCGGAACAAATGTGCCTTCACAGGCCGCCTCAATAAACTTATCCTACAAAAAATGAGCACTTACATATATTGTTATAAAATCATTTAAATAACAAATAACATAATTAAAACAAATCATTCTACAATTTTCTCAGTAACTACTCTCCATGCATCTGAGATGTACTCTCCATTTGGTCTTAGTCGAGCCCTCTTCCACTTTTCATGTCTTGACGATAGAGATGGGATGCGATCATCTCACGTTTCTTGATTTTTTTTCAAGCATGACTTTTTTCTCAAGTTTCTTCTAACCCCCTGTTGGCTGAAGATTTTGATGATATTGTTCGAAGCAAAGCAAGTTGGATGTTTCGATTGGAATAAAGCAAGATGTCATGTTTCGAAATGGTAGAAGCAGTGCTTCGAATGGGCATATCAAAGCTTGGAGCTTCGAGTGACAGTTATGAGGATATCTTCAAAAGAAGTCTCGAAGTGATAACAAGGCTGTGTCCAAGAAATGCGTTCGAAGCGAAGAAGTGCCAAAACATTTGAAATTCAAATACAAGCGGGATGTTCGAAATTTAAAATATATGCGCTGGAGCATTCGAAGACGCGTGGAAGCTAGAGAGAGGCATTGCTTTGCATGTTCTGAACGTGGCAGAATCTTATAGCAAGACCGTTATGGTCGAAGTAGTATAAATAGAAGTCTTAGCATTAGGATTTCGTGTGTCATATCTATTGTACAAAAAACTCAGTAAACATTCAAAATACCACATGGCTAGGGAAACGAATGCACGAGCAATGTACGTATGATAACACCAAGTGTTTATGATTTAATAAAACTCTTTATCATTTCCAGTATTTTCCTCTATCTTCATGTCAATACCATTCAAAAGCCTTTGCATTAAAATATTTTCATTCGAAGTCTTTTTACTGATGCCTTACATTTAAATGTTTTCTTTCCATTTCAAATACTTTACATTTCAGAAACTTTTGTATATTTCATGCCTTTATCTTCATGCCTTTATCATTCGAACACCTTTTTCCATTTAAAGTCATTTTACTGTTTTCTTGCATTTAAACGCTTTCTTCATATTTCGAATCTTTTACATTCCAGAGAATCTTTTACATTACATGTTTTTATGCTTCGAAGTCATTTACTTGTCTTTTCTTCAGTTTTATATGTCTTTACAATTAAACTTTATTCATGCAATTTAGTTTCGCGCGCATTTACTTGATCATGTTATTAGATCTTTAATAGAGTAATCGAAGTAAGTTAAACACCTACACAACATTCTAAATACCAACCATGAATACCAGTTCTATAATGAGAGTTATCCAAATGACCAATACATCCTAGGATCAATCTAGTCGATCCTGCGAGTTACCAGAGAGATTAAATAACAGTCATTAAGATTATTTGATAGTTTGGAGGACTAGCGGTTGTTTACCAGAAATCACTGTAAACAAATTGGCACACCTGGTGGGACGCGTCATTGGCCATTACGAAATTTAGAACAAAGTAAAAAATTATTGAGACATAACCATTGTAAAAATACTCTCTGAGTGATAAGTTTGTTGTTTTATGAACCTTAGAAGTGGTAGAATAACCAATAGCAACCAACCCTTATCCAGAAGAAAACGTTTAAACAAGATGTCTAATCCAGACAATCAACAAGGGGAACATAATATCCCACATACAACAGGCACTAATATGTCTGCTTCGATGGGAACATCTAATGCAATCCTTTCGAATGCACAGTCTGTTGCATCCTCTACCAGTAATGTAGCCACTAATGGAACAAGTGGCATATCAACTAACAGTTCGATCCTAGGAAATACTGGAACCATTGGTTACCCTGGGGGATTCGTCCCACCATCAGGGACACAAACCCATTTCGTCACCCCACTAACTAGACCACCCGGTTTCGATGGTAATAGAGCCAGAAATTCCTCTTATGGAATGCCAACATCTTTTATGGCAGGCTTACACAATTCCACATCGAATTCATCACCATAATTAGGGTCTGGGTCTGGGGCAAATCAATTTATGACAAATAACCAAGGATCAGTGGGTTATAGTGCAATTCTTATCCTAACCACATAAAATCAGTTGACCTTTAGGC